ACAGTGAAACTTTATATATACATGTATATGTATATTTCATGCACTAGAGAGGTTAACCGGGGTTCTTGAGGCGAGGATTGTATCTCATTGTAGTTTTTTCGTCTGATTTCTGAATCAAACCAGCACTGAGATTCAATACTGATACCGATGAAGAGTTGTTCTGTAGATATTTATCTCAATGCAATGAATCTGTCGACGACTTATATATAACGCCAGGGTGGTGGTGGTCTAGCTAAGTGGTTAAAGCGTTGGATATTCACGCCAAAGACAGGGTTTGATTCCGAACGCGGGTGCACAGATTGAAGCCTATTCGTTGTACCACCCACATACTGTTTATTGTAAAAGATGGAGTCTTAAGAGATGTTTAGATATGCACGAATTACAAATAATGACTAATTAGCATATGATTAACTACTCATTTCGTTTGCTATCAACATGTGTTTTTAAACACATCCTCTTTATACGCTACATATTTTACATCTAACCGACATCACTCTTAAAATAGTGCCAATAGACAACAACTGCAAATACTCATGCCAATAATGGTTGTCATCCCTCCCCACCCGAACACCCACCCACCACACCCTCTCCAATTTAAAAATTGAAGGGGTGACTTATTGGCATGAGAATATATAGTGATTCTCGAATCTTACTTGACAGAAGCAATTAATGGAAGTTGGTTTCAAATACATGTCTCGGTGCCCCCACATATCACTTGTACTGTTGAACTTCATTTTCCTTCTCAATGAAAACAATTCCTGAAATAGAATTCCTACTTATAAAAAACATGCCAATATCACGTTTCTGTATGCATTTTATTTACTTCATCTGCTTGAGCAATTTCAAGAATTGTGAAACTGCTTTGTGCATGCATAAGGTATGTGGTGCTAGGTCTTAGTCACTTAAACGCTTATTTAGTTTAAAAGACGCGTATAATATATATTGTTAAAACGGAAAAATATCACAAATATTACACAACAAAGTTAAGGACTACCCAATTTTCAATATTAAAGTGCTTAATAGTTCATATTATGATCAATATAATACTTAAATATTGAATATTGGGGTGGTCCTTAACTTCTTGCGTTGAGTATATAACAGATCCGTCCTGTATTTTTACATAACCTCGCAAGACATCATCTTGCTTGGTCAGGTGACAATTTAATAAAGGTTTTGTTATGATCTTTGGATAGAATTAGCAGACAGGTGCCAACAGCAAATGCCAGCACCATACTGCCAGATAATATTGCTGTAGTGACCGCTGTCCATATCTCGTGCTGGTCTCACGTGCTGTCGGCCCGGGGGTGGGAGAAGTGGCCCTAGGGGTAGCGGGCACCTGTCCGGGTCGTCTCGTGCTTGTCAGGGCGGGGCGGTCACGGCAACAGAAGCTTCATTAGTGTAGCATGGGTTCCGTTCGATTTAATTTTTCTTGATAGGGGAGATGATTTTACGAGAAAATATGTGTCAAATCCTATTTGCCATTAATTATTGAACGGTACTGATAGTGTCAAATTAGTAACGGTACTACTGACATCTGTAACGAACTTAACGATTTTGAGAGAAATAGATTCCACATTTTGGTTGATGATGAATTACAGAGTGTTAATATGGAACACCCTGCTATATTACGAATTGATATTTAATAGGGCTTGGTTAAAACAAATATTCTAATGCTTATCATACGTATGTACATGTATATGTACTTGAAATATATGTAAATGTAAGCAATTTACATGTATAACTATATATTTATACATATACTGTATACATGTAATTAATTATAACGTTTTATAAGTATTTGGATTGAGTGGTATTAATTCAAATATTTCCAATTATTTAAGATTATATTGTACTGGTTGAAATTTGAACTTGAATATATTATTTATCATTTTAATTTGAGGTATTATTAAATACAACGAAATTATAGAAACAATAAATCAAATTTTATCAAAATTCATGATAATTACGATACATGAAGTTCATTTGATCGATTTTAAACTGAAAATGTTTACAGGTTCGTGTAAACGTTCAAAGATCAAATGTAAAATTATATGTTCCGGTAACGATGTTAAAATAGTTTCAATAGGGCAATATTAGAAATCGCCTTGGGAGTGTGATTATTTTTTCTTGTTCCGACATATGGAAAAGTTCTTTCAACTTTCCGCATTCTTAAAACAATGCATTTTTGTAAAAGCACCGTGGCACAAGAGCTATGAAAAAAATGCCAGAAGTGAAAAAACCCCAAGAATTTGCATCTGATGTTAATTTTGTTTTCGAGCTTAAACTAAACAACAAATAATAATGAATTTTGTCAAGCATATTTTGGCAGCATATTTATCTTCGAACATACGTACTTCCCAAATATCACGTTAACAATGTACCGTGAAACTCCCATCATGCCTCGAGTTCCTTTCATCAGCAGGATTCAAGGATTCAGCAGATTTACGAATACTTTCCTCCGAAGATGATTCAGCATAAAAGGAGAATAATCAAAATGGTTCAGACAAAAATTCCTCATATTTTTCATTCATAAAAATGAAACAAAATATCAACGAAATATTTGACTCGTGTCATTTGTTGACACAAACGATTCTATTTCGGCAACTGTTTTCCTTAGAAAACCAATGCTGTAAAATCACAGCCTCAGTTTCCCCGCTGCGTTTGCTTGACCAGTGGTCAGCGGGGCACGTGAGTGTTCCCCTGGGCAGTCCGGCTGCGGTCAATGTCCATAAGAAAATACACACAGTAATGACCAAGAGGGAGACACTTGTGTTTCAACAATTGAAAAGATAGCCAAATATTTATCATCACGCTTGTCGGACAAGCTTGTTCAGGCGATAACAGACTGTGAGTGGTGAAGTCATTATAATTTGTCATTATACGTATTTGAAGGGTTTATGGCTTGATAGAAAGGTCACTCGTACGGTGAAAGATCTCACACAAGATAGATACTCCACAAAACATCAATTTGCTATTTTTTAACCGAACTTTTAGAAAAATAGGGTCATTGAAATGATAGTTTATTACCCTGCGGTTTGGAAGAACACGGATAGGAGTTTAGATCTAGCAAGGCGTCTTCATAAAATAGATTCCCTTGAAATAGGTTAGGTCGATATTTACAATATTTCATTTATTTGATTAATAAATAAATGCACTGAACGCTAGCATATGTTACTATGATAACTCCAAATGGTTTTAACACTCAATAACTGTCTATTAAATCAACAGTTTATAATTCGAGTGTTCAAAATATTAAAAATACCTCGAAACTGATACAGATGCTGACCTTGGTTATCGTCAGTCATACATCGCTATCTGATCAATATTTTCTTCGGGACACTTTGTTATTTCCACGAAATAATAACTGTTGAAACAGTCATCAGAATGATATTGCTAAATGTATGGTTTTATTCGCGGTATATTTATTAACAGAATGTGTTGCATTCTCTTTAAATGGGTTTATTCGAAGTCAAATGTCGGATGTATTTCTTTTGTTATTTAAATTATATTTCGATGGAATCAGTAAATTTTATTCCATGTTTGTTAATTACACATGGGCATGAACAAACAAAGGGGAATCAGTGTTACATCCGCGGCGTGCTCAACATTTATGCATTAATCGATATCCTGCCAGGATGGTGCACGTGTAGGCCGGAGTATGTGACAACACTGTTCATATATTACACACAAATCAAATAAGGATGAGAAAAGTTTTATTCCTGTTAAAACAGGTTATAATCACTACAAAATGTTCATAATTAAAACTTAAAATCGTAAAAGAACGGACACCCGGTACGAACCATGGTATAACGACAAAAAGTAATAAAAACGAATAATCCTATATTGAGAAAGTTAAAATAATCCTTTTTTTTATATATATAACATATGAGAAGGATATATATTGGACATGTGTGTATTATGTGTGCGTTTGTGTGTGCGTGTGTTCTTGGGCATGCGCGTGTGTGTTTAAATACATTTACACGGCAAATGGCAGTGTAAACAAAATCATGCATTTGAATTAACCACAGAGTAATGTTTGGGTAAATTAGATTCCGTGTCATATTCGTGTTATTTTTTGGAAATAATCCAGGGAAAATCTGTCAATTATAAATATACATAACATCACACAGTTGACTGATTTTACAAATGTCACCTTAAAAAACTTGCTCCTATGCTCTTTCGGTTACTTAAATAAAAAGCCCTTAAATTTAAACTCGAGGAATTTCGTGAATTTCTGAAGTGGCAGTTTGATTGAGATCTCACTTTATGTTGAGAATGGGAGACTTGTGCCCCCGTCCAAGTCCCTCAACACATGATTTCCTCATCAAACCCCCGGGGTAGCGTCAGATGGGGAGGGGGCTGAGGGGGGTGAGGGGGATAATGTTCTCTTGGTTTACCCACGTGCTGGTCAAACTATAATGACATCTCCTGAGACCGATTTCCAACAACACTTTCACTTTAATCTCCCTGTGTCTTAAGAGCTTGGTATTAACATTTTAGAACTTCTAAAACGAACGAAGTTAGTGTTGAGACAACAATGGAAATTGTCATTTTCCCTACTCAGTACGCTCAAGTGATCCTGCGCATGTGTGAGAAATTCCTTCGAAAATCCCGGATAGATAATTCGTTATTGACCATGAGTTAAAGCCATGGAGCCAGCTCGCGCTCTTATCCACAAGTCAACACTTTTCCGAATCAGTCGATCGCGTCTCCCAACGCCCGGTAAATTTATTGTAAAATTACCATCGACTCTTCTTCATCAGCAACTTGGAGCTAATCGGGCCCGAGCTCCAAGTCTCATCTCATTTCCAACTTAATACTATCAATTAAAGCGATAGCCAATTAGCAACGCTCTGAGGAATTAATAGGAGTTCTCTTTCAATTAGGCCCGCCGACCCACAGGAGCGGCGCACGAGCGAGGGGAGGTACTACGCATGCGCACAAGTTAGGATCGCTGAAAGCACTTGTTACTGGGATCTCATTATTACGATCAAGCAAGGTGCATTCGGGTCGCACTTGGAGTGAAGACAGAGGGCTTGTTTTGAGGACTCGTCTAGTTCGGCGTTACCTTTCAAATCCGCCCGGACTGCTATAGTACTCCGGAGTGCTAGAATACTTCAATCGAGACGTGGGTTGAATTTGAAGTGACGCTCTAGTTTGCAAACATACAGCCACTGATGACAGATTTTATTTTGTGTTTTTGTTCAATTTGAGTGTATGCAGAACCCGAGTGAAGTGCCCTGCGATCAGGGTGAAACTTATGAACGACTGAGAGAATATTCGGTCCGGCTGCTGCAACAGTTATATCAACATAGGATGGACACCTTGGTCAACAGACTAGCCGATACCCGCGGGCCAGACAGCCCGGTATCCGATGACGATCATTCTGAAGCGTTTCCTGACACGGATATAGAGGACAACGAGAAGCACCCCAAAGAGAGAAGAGACTCAGACACACCCACCCCTACCCCTAGTCCCGGGGGCTCACGTCACACACCCTCACCCCACAGGCCGGAATCCCCGGACGAGCCGAAAGTTCAAACGACGTCGTTTCGGGTGGCTGACATTCTCGACCCCAGCAAATTCACAGGTACTACGAAATCTCGGGTGTGGCACCCGTGGAGGGACGAGAGCTCCTGTGATCCGTCTCATCTGGATGACCTCACACATAGTTCAGGTAAATATCGATTTTCCTTTTTATTGATTTTTCATTATTTGCTCATCTGTTCCGACATAAGCACGTGCTCATTAGTTATGTACCCAACTCATAAGCTGTCGCATAGTCAAAATTGTCAGCTCGTTTTTATTCGTATGTTCTTTTGTCTTTATTGCGAAAAATGTTTAGTCATTCAGAAATATCAGTTATGCTTAATCTTTTACGAAATTCCAATATTTCATATCAATAAAGCGTAAAAAGGCTTATGTTTTCTTCAAGTAAATTTGTCGAATGTATATTAATTTGTATGAAGAAAATTTCTAAACACATTGACACTTTATGTATCATATTATATTTTTGTATCAAAAGGAACAGATACACAATAATTATTGTTTGTTTGTTTGTGTTACTGTTCTTTGATAGCTAATTTAGAAACGGAAACAATATATATATATATATGTGTCTTAAGGACATATGCAATTTTCCACACCAGTGTAGCAAAAATTTCCGTTTAAATGAATGAAAACTGTGACCACGTATTTTGTAGATATTAAAAACTCACAAACATACCATATACATATTTTCACCAACCCATAAAACCGGTTATGTTTTGCCATGTTGCTGTGTGTTTTGTTTATCATGATAAATCTTTATTTCGTGCCACGTTGAGGTTATTTATTCCAATATTTATTTTATTGAGCAAATACAAACTTTCTCGTCGCCTTCGTCTGCATTCGTCATTATCGTCGTCAAACCTGACTCCATTACGCGCCGCTTTTACTTTTTATTTGATCTGGCTCTTTATGCAATCTGCTTTTTACCTAATCTGTTCAAGTTCGTTTTAAATGAAAATCCACATTTTCCAACATCACTTTTTGCTCAATCCGAAAAAAACAGGATAAAGTTCAGCTGAAACATATCCCACCCACTTTTTTATTCCAATATCAGTATCCAACCAATCTTTTTAAAACATTACTTTTTAAGTGTCGATGTGAAAGAAACGCACTTGAACACAATATCCCTTTCCCAAATCGAAATTATTTGAGAAACTTTCACGGCTATTTCGTTTTAATTTATCTGTCAACCCATATTGTAAGGGAACGTTGTCTCAATGATAATAATTAGTTAAGTCGGATTCTTGACGGATTTCTACGGCTGGGATAAGTTCCCACGGGGTGTGTAGATCAGAAGCGTGTGTCCTGGCTAGCAATACCATCATCACACACAAATCTAATGACTCGTCACGGCAAATCAACTATCTGTTAACTCTACATAACCACAACACGATCGAGTTACACGCCCCTGAAAATCAAGAGAAACACGCTTTTCAGTAATTATATATTTATTTATATTACTCGCGCTGGGTCCTGTAAGAGCGTCTGTCAACAAATCTGGTAAAGTCATTAATAGATTAAAGGCAGTGTAGTTGCCTTGAGTCTTTCTGACCAGTGGTCAATGGCTTTGTGGGGTAATTAGACCGCAAGTGTAACACATTGTACCAGCAGGGAGGACTTTGAAGAAGTCGTTAGGTTATATTACGAGTCATTAACGTATGTTGGGGGTCACTTACAAAGCACTGAACTCCATATATTGTCTTATGGTTTTACAGCGAACTGCTAACACGCTGCACGCGTTTTATACTGACCAACATTTCATTGTTGATAATGTAAGAAACGTACATCACAAAAGAAAAGTTTTAAAATGCCGCACCAAATCCTTTTTTAAAAATCGTTGACAGTGACAAAAGATGATTTGAAAATACATGTCAATTTCACCCCGTCGGAAATATTTTCATTGTGATAAGTGACAGTTTGATTTATGAAGTTATGTTTAGATTTTAAAAACAATTAGTTTGAAAAAGCACCCATGTTTTACTGAGAAAATCAATATAAGTGTTAAATTCGTTGATTGTTTGATTCAAGTCATGGTTTATCATGGAATTTTATTTTTAATATGGACTATTCGATATGTGATAACTGATGGATGTAAAAATATTTAATACCATTTTCACATTCTGTCAGCAATGCTAACGTTAGATATTCATTTTGATAAACTCATTATTAATAGTTTCACAAATAACAGATTCACAGCTATCAGTTCAACCGAACAGAATAGACCCCCGTGTAACAAACGCTGAAACTGACAAACAATGGGATGTTTCTCATATGACACCTCCCCATCTGTAGCAGAACATGTCAATAGAAATTGGCAAAATATATTAACTTAATAACTTTAAGCGTCAGCATATTTAATATACGAGTTTATGTTGAATAACTGCAACATTTGGATATGATAGTTAACTTCATATGCGCATCATTTATCATCGATCTTAAGAAACGTCCTTCCCGCTAGTGATCGACTGAGATATTGAGAATGCCTCTAATTACTTTTGTCTGTTTTATTAAAGGCTGTAGTAAACAAACCATCAACAAATTGAGTGAAAAATCAACTACACTAGCGATCAGATTTTAATTAAATCCTCACAATTCATGCGTCAGCTGTCATCGATCTTCAAAATACAGAATGGTTGTTAAGTTGAATTAATACGATGCTCACCTGCGTTACAAAACGAATAATATATATTTAATATGAAATCGTAGAAACTGTGAATTGTTTTTACCCGAGGAATATGTGAATAATTAGTTTTTAGACCTTCAACTGAAATTCCTTCGATAACAGACATTTATGTCAGGATGTTTACGGAAAGGAAAACCGGACCATAAAACAACATATATTTTACGAAATAATAACAGTTTAGTAATACGCGAGTGGATGTCAGGAGCTTAAATACTGGGTCATTTCAATGCGTGGCTTTTATTACCACGGCTTACGACAAGGGAAGATATTTACCGTTACTGGCACGTGTTGTTCACGTGTGCGTTCTTATATAAACATACAATAATTACCATGTTAATTAAAAGCTCATATTTCCTGTATGAATTTCAAACATAACGTATGTGCTTAACGGTGTGATGTTGCGCAAACATTGAGAGAAACGAATCTCTCCGGAAGCTGTTAACTGGTTAAGCGACAGGCGTCATCAAGAAACTAGAGGGTTAATTAGCTTACATGGAAATAACACGTTTTTAAATCGAAAACGCCACTTTTTAACACACGTTATATGAAACAAGGAGACAGCTCGCTCCTTCAGCCACGATCGTGTGTCTATCACGTTAACTGAAAGTCTGACTCCATCAGCTAACCGTTTCGAGATGCCTAGCATAAGGGGGTCTTAAAACAGGATAAACGTTTAACTCCAATAATTTTGAAATCCATTCTTTCCGGAAACATGGTTGGTAAATGAGCCTTGTCAAAATATTGATTATAAGTTAGCAAATGCAACAGGAAAAGTCTCCCCCACTCCTCCCCCATTCTGCCCCCTTCCCTCCCAAGTTTCTCGTGGTCTTAGTTTAACTGCCCATTCAAGTAGTTTAGCTAGAGTTAGCTGAGAAAAACCGATCCAGCATGTGAAGGGACGTTATTATTCTTCTACGCGATTTACACCGTCAAATGGAATTTTAATGTTTTTCATGATTATTACAAGAAAACATACCATTAAAATGGGGAATTGTTTACGTTTGCGAATTGCCCAAACTACATCAAAATGCATTTAAATGGAAATTTTGCAGTTGATTGTGTCTTGTAGAATGTTAAGCATTATTCGATGACAGCTTAGCGAGGCAGAAAATATGCTGTTGAAAACGTATGTAGGAATTGAAATAACAGTTTATAATGTTTAATGTTTTCTGCAAAGTCAAGCATGGGAAAAGGCGACTGATCGTGATGTTTGATAAAACGTACTGACAATGGTGCGAAGATTAACTTTTTGCTGCAAATTTGCTATATAATAATACAATATTCTAATCATTCTAAATCTGTGCATGAATTGTGTAAGAAAACCTTAAAATTGACAGTGCTTAGTGATAAGATATAAATTGAATCATATTGTTGATACAGGTTATGGAGGGTGTCTGGTTATTTGATATAGTGACGCTTGGGTTAAGGGCTGTACATAGTGAAGGTTTGGGGGTAGATGCTAGGTTAGGGAAGAAGATAGGGAGGGTTGGCGATGTGGGTGGGAGGTGTGGGTGGAGACAGGGGAGGGTTGGAGGTGTGGGTGGGGGTGGGTTGGTGCGGGGAGGATAGAGACAGGAGAAGTGTAAAAATAGTTACTCTGGAGGGTTATTCGTGGGAGAGAATGGATACCATGAATGGAAACTTGGAGAGAGACGCTAGTTGCGGGTGGGGCTCGGGGGTTGGGGGAGGAGATAGGGGTAGCGGGTCTGCAGTTCATATAATAGCGACTTCATCAGAATTGACCGGTCTCTACTCCAACACACAATCGCAAGGTCAACTCCGGCTATCGCGGCTCCATCACAACCACTAGAAAGCGTTCAACTGAGAAATTTGCCAATTAGATATTAGCGATTTTAGTGTCGCGCGACACTAGGGCAGAAATTAGCAAGCACATCTGTTCCACTGGCTTCTCCCATCTCCAGCGATTAATAGACGGGGGTGGGGGTGAGCGATGGGGTGAGGGGGAGAGGGTTGACCCGATATGAAAAGATTGGAAATTGATGATGTCCCAAGAGGCTCGGTGTAGCTGGGCCCAATGGCGATCTAAAGATGCGCTTTAAGATAGGTTGAAAAGCGTCGCTGACGCATTTAATGTTTAAATCATCCTTTTGTCTGCTCGTTTATTCTTCTATAGTCGGTATGGCAGGATCGACCCACTATTTATGCATCTTTAGACAAGACGCCACTTCACAATGATAAACCTCTAGCGTTTCTGAAAGTCCTAATGTCGCAGGGTGGCCATAGAACTTGAGTGTTTGTTCCACGGATTGGACACATATAAATCAAATGAGTATGCGGGAAAAACAGACCGACATGCGGGGGGAACAATGCCCTAATTTGGTCAGCAGCTCGTGAAATACTAGAGGATCAAAGAAAGTCAGCACCGTGGACAATTGTTTCTAATGATGAATCTGTAGGCTAAATAGTTATATTGCCCCCATGAATTGAACGGATATCGCGACACTGGGACTGTGCTACTTGATCCAATCAAACACCTCCGCAGAAGGGTTCGCTCAGCTATTATCATTTCAATAACATGTTCCTTTATATTTTCACTTTTTACTCTTCTTGTGAAACTTCACCAAATGCTACAGAAATTCGACTTTATCGAGCTGGACAAAAGTTTTCATTTAAAGGGACAGACGGAGTGTTAAGATGTCAGTACCTCTGGGTGTGAAACTTATATCCACATCTGTCACGCACGCCGTGACGTATGTTAACTTATAAGCTACTCTTTCAGATATTTCTGTATTAAAAGAAAAAATAGGGGGGAAATCGAGAAAATATGATCTATATTCCAAAGATCATCTCGTATAAAACTTTCGTGGTAGCATCAAATTTATATCAAATAGACACCATTATTGTGACCGCATATTCCCAAACTAAAATTAATGATGTTGACGTAAACAAAAACATATTCCATCAAACTGTAAACAGAATTATTTAAGGTACAGTGTACGTTAGTAATCATCTGAAATGCTGACAGGATCTTGTTACATCTATCTTGTAACCGTCTTAACCAATTGCAACCAAATAAGATACCCTATGAATATTATGTATAACACATTCAGAATATTCATATAATTTATTTATTCATACACGTTATTTATCCCATTTTGTAGACTGGTTGTGTTTATATATAACTTCTATTTCGACTTGGGCAGTCCCGTTTGCAAACCCGTTAATACGATGTTTCAAGTGAAATTGTTCTTTGAGACAAAATTCCAGTTTCACCTATCAAAGACACAGTCTTTTGTGCTATATGTATACATTCCAAGCTGTTATCGAAAGCTGAGGTTCCCTGTTAACTGTGTCCGCTTGCATGGTGTTCGTACTAACAGTGTCCACTTTAAGTTGTCCGGGATAACGAGGTTTTACTGTGTTTCCAGTGATCTAGTCTGTCATGCAGACCCTGAAACAAATATATCCAAGAAAGCCCATGCAAGTCTAGAATATGTGGCAAGTTTAGATTCCCACAGTTTCTGAACATGAAGCAAGACTCTGGGCTCCTTTTCATTATATTTTATGATAATGTTTTATGAACAATTTTTTTCTGTAAAATATGCTTATTTCAGAGACGAGCTGTTAGTCCAGTCACCCGGATCTTGTATTTGTTTACATCTCGCGTCGTCATTAAAACAAAGTAAAACTTCTAAACAAACCTGACGAGTATTTATTTTGTACATGTTACCAGAATACAATATATGACACATGTACAGATATGTTTTGGCTGTAATAAATGTCCACAGTGAGTGAGTGAGTGTCGAGTGTTGATTTCAAATGATCTCTTTCTCAAATCCGAGTGTTGATTTCAAATGATCTCTTTCTCAAATCCGTATCCTCATTTTTCAGGATCCCCTCATGATGATGACGATCTCTTGTCACGTGACCATCGCGGCGATTCCGACGACAACGACATTCTGGACGGTGATGACAAATGTGATGACGACGACGACACCGACGACAAGGACCGAGAACGACGTCGTAACAAGTCGTCGTCGTCGGACGGCGGGAAGGCTGGGAAACCGAGAAGGGCACGAACAGCGTTCACTTACGAACAACTCGTGGCGCTGGAAAACAAGTTCAAAACCACCCGCTATCTGTCGGTGTGCGAGCGTCTCAACCTGGCACTGTCCTTGAACCTCACTGAAACCCAGGTAAAAATCTGGTTCCAAAACAGAAGAACAAAATGGAAGAAGCAGAACCCAGGTTTGGATGTGAACAGTCCCACCATTCCCCCATCATCTGGAAGCATGAGCACGTTTTCGTCGCCTTATTCTGCTAGTATGTTATATGGACAAGGCCTTCATCCATACCTCCCAAACCACAATATACTCGGCCATCTTGGACTATTCAGAGCGCATGCGTCATATCCCGGGCAGGCGCATTCGATATACTACCCGTATTTTAGCCAAACTACGTGATACGAACTGAGTGATACAAAATGGTTGAAAAGTTTGCGTCGCAATGACGTGAAATGTATTACCACTCGTGGTAGACGTCCTGTCTCAGAATGACGACATAACGAATATGACGTCACACCTAATTTATTGACGTAACACATGACGTCATCAAGAAGAAATAGTGCTGGAGAGTGCTTCATACTCTTATATTGAACTGTGCCATAGACACTGCTCCTAAGAACACAATTGCCAGGAATGCCAGTCAGAGCTATCGAAACCGACTTTTTTTCCAAACGAAATAGCCGTTATTCACTTTGCGAACACATTCTTCGTCGTCGATGGTGTCGGCGGAGATTCGGCTGCAGCTGAAATGAAATGATGGAAGATGATTCTGGCACAGATGTCGGCCCTGGAAACGTGGTTAGGTTGGTACTGACGCCGATGACGAAGTGACCTCATTCATAACTGTTCTTTTGTACATATGTGGCTGTGGTGACGTTAGATGGTCCACACTGCGTGGATATATACACATCAAAGGTGCAAAAATAAATAGTGCTGAAAAAATAATGAATACAATATATGACTTATGTTTTGTTTTGGATCCTCGTGGTTTGCGTTTTTTCATCATATGTTTTAAAAAAATTATATTACCATTTCTTCAGTTTAACCTCGATTATCCGTTTTCACATACATTGTATTTCTATTGTATTAAAAGATTATGATAAACTATGGTATTATTCAGAGATACAGTTTCGTATGGGCCCGGAAGTGGTGGGCCGTCCCTCTTATCCCTAACGGGGCGGTGGGGTATCCTCGTGGTAAAAGCGTTCGCTCGTCACGCGGAAGACTCGGGTTCGATTCCCCACATGGGTACAATGTGTGAAGCCCATTTCTGGAGTCCCCAGCTGTGATATTGCTGGAATATTGCTAACAGCGGCGTAAAACAAAACTCATTCACTCACTCTCATCGCTTGCATTCATCTCCAGGGTTTTCATCATAATTGATTTGGGATAAATTGCAATGCATATGAAGAGTTTTCTCAGTTTTATTTAATAATTGTTTTCTTTTCATCATCAGGAGTAGCAAAGGTCTTCATGTTAACACTTAACATTGGATGCCGTAAATGCATTTAAGATATCGTTAATGTAATACCACATGTCATTCCATACTCGATATCTGTCGCGATAATGGACACAGAAACGAAAATAGGGAACTGCATTTTTAACGTGTGCACAAAACATTGCTGACACCGTCACGACAATCATCGTACTGAAAATCTTGTATTAAACATTTAGATAACTATGATAAATGGGACTTTGGATTAAGGTATCTTCATTACAAACAGAAACAAATAGCTGAATAACTAAACAGCCTGGCAACATAGAGTATACATCCATGTTGATGGTTTCTAAGAACGAAACAAGTAAGTAATGATTATTCGATGAGATGTATTGCTACGGATATCTCAGTAGTATACTCCTCACACTTTGCTAAGGATCACAACAATTCACAACTTTACTTAAATGTAGATTTATAATAGGAAACTGTATCCATTTAAAACTGGATTAACAACAATATGGTAACACCTCTGTAGGCAAACAGCCACTTTAATCCAACCTTATGCACTTGATACATGAGTAACCATAAAAATGGTTTTCATGGCACCAATCAACCATTTCACAAATCATGGAACGAGTCATTGACAAATAAATAACATATATGGGATCCACAAGATGCAATGACATACTGAAACCTAGGATCCTTGCTTACAATGAGCTTAGTTATTTTAACCAAGTTTGACCCCACATAATAGTTTTCTGTTGAATCCGTGACTTGATCCTTAGCAAAGTGTGAATAGTATATTTTAGACGTTGAGCTTGCGATGTTTCCGAGACAGTTTTCAGCTTAGTAACATGTTGACGTTTGTAATATTTTTGGGGGTTGAAGTCCAACTTTCAAAGGCATACTTTCTTCTGCCCGACGGTTAGATAACTATTCTAGTTACTTGGTACAGTCTAGATCTGTGACAAGGACATTTGAGCGAAGACGCATTGATTATGTTCTCGTCGGGTTTAACTTTATGTGTTAAAAACATGACTCTGCGGTTTATGGATATTTTATTATGAGCCTGAAATTATATTTTGCAATAAAGCAAAGGAGCTTATGGCGAAAATAAGCTTCCCTGCAGAGATTCGTAAAGACGAAAATGAACATGCCTTCTAAACCCAACACGTGTATTAATGAACTTTTAATACAAAACACATAGTATGAAATACACACGACAAATGGGAAAAACATTGACGTTTTCATTAAGTACACTGACATGAATATCATCACTTAGGGTGTAATTTGGATACAAATATTCGCTTTGTCTACTTCACAAGGTAGTACCTGATGATGGCATAAGCTGTAGCGACCTCACGCTCATGTGCCGAAAGATACTTCATGTATTCATCGGCCAAGTGTCGAAAACTAACAAATATGTCTACTTCTTATCCACTTTATACACAGCAACATACAGAGTTTGTTTGTTGGTGAGGGTCCTAGTCAAAACGGCCACACGTCAAAATGGCCATAGAACATCCAAGTCAAAATGGCCACAAAAAAGTCAAAATGACCACAAACCCCTAGTCAAAATGACCATACCCAAAAGTCAAAATGGCTATAGAAAAAGTCAAAATGGCCATACTTTACTTTTTAATTTTTTAATACTCATAACAATTTCCCATGTTGTATTATTTGATATCAAGGTGTAGAAATGACAAATGAAGTTATATCAGACAAAACCTGATGTTTATTACTCATCAACAAATCATGTTTTCAAATGAAAAACCCAAAAAATATTAACAATAATAATAATAATGTATGGCCATTTTGACTTTTTCTATGGCCATTTTGGTATGGCCAAATGGGTTTTGCCATTTTGCCATTTTGTGTGTGGCCATTTTCACTAGGGTCAGTGTGGCCGGTTTTTCGTGTGGCCATTTTGACCTGTTCCCGTTGGTAACTGTTACGATTAAGATGGCGAACATCGACGAATTTGAGATACGAGGACATGCATTAACCAAGCGAGCGGGACTGAACCCCCGATCCCGTTACTCGCATCTAACAACCAGCATGGGTTGCTGAAGACCAATTTAACCCGGATCTTCACGTGGGTAATTTGATGCGGGTGTGGATGTCATTTACATCTGATGACGTTATTATATCACCTGGATAATGATGCTGAAACAAACCCATCCTTGTCCCTGAGGCGGCAATAAACCACAGTCGATAATCACGTATTGTAACACACAGTAAATTATATGTCCATTACAACGGCATGTAGACGTGTGAACGTACGAGACCCTCCAGCTACAACACATGTGACGTGTGAAAGAACGTGATCCTGCAGCTACAACACGTGTGACGGTTTACCTACCACGCGGACCTAACACCTACTGCAGGTAGGGCTCGGTGTCTGCTTGTGATGCACCGATATATATTTTTCACGCCATTTAATCTAACGCCATATTCACAGCGCCCTACACCAGGCCAGCAAACTCGTTGATATTTGTATTTTCTGATACGAAGTACATGTAGTATATTTTAATAAAAACATTGCATCTACCATGACATCAGATTAGCAAGACATTAGCAAGACATTAGCAAGCCGTATTCCAGTTCGTATGGCTACCTATACAGTTCATCTCATGCATCGCACAGGTAAATCCCATGAGCCTCTAATGTACCAGGTATTCCTTAAAATAAAGGGTTTCCAGTGTAGATGATATATTTAAATGACCAATCGGCGATTTGTCATAAACAAAAGTCTGAGCGTCACACATTCGTAATGCAAATTTAGGTAATAATTTAAAATTATTACTGAGAGAGAGAGAGAGAGAGAGAGAGAGAGAGAGAGAGAGAGAGAGAGAGAGAGAGAGAGAGAGAGAGAGAGAGAGAGAGAGAGAGAGAGAGAGAGAGAGAGAGAGAGAGACCCCCATTCACTTATTTATTTTCAGAATTGAATTTTCATGAAAATTGTAATATGTTTTTAAAGATATCAAACATTCACACATTACTTGCAGCTTTATATTGAGCTGGAGTTGTAAACCTGTGAGCAGCAATTGCAGCTTCCATGCTCATCTCGATAAAAACACAACAAATCTAAAAACAGCTTTTGGCAGATCTCTAGTTTTATATGTCTCTCGTTCATCTTTTCCTGGTTTACAGGTGAAGTTTTTAATTCATCTTAAGCTCGATGGTAACTAGATTTAAACCCCATTTACTACATAAAAACACTTACCTTTTCGCTTTGGTATCTTTTCTGTATACAGTCCACTTGTTTACCTGCATAGCTGTACCTGCATAGCTGTAATCCGAATGGAATTATCGGGTCTCGTTTTCATCTGGCATCAACGCTATCTCAGATATAAATTTATGAGATCACACCTTGTCTTTCCATTTATCAATATATTGAATATATTGAAATACGTGGTGCAGCTTATTCGTTTTTCAGGTGTATATATGCTGAAGAAAATTGTATTTGACCACACCATTACAAACATTATCAGGACGTTAATTGACCGAAACATTGCAAACTTAGACCCAGAACTCAACAGTGACACCTGTATCAAATATACTACCCATTAAAAGTTTAGACATAAAACACTCACTATATGTTATCTATATACATGTGGTTACACATGAATTTCTCCACTAACGTGGGGGAACCAACTGCAAACCTTACGCAGATGAATTGCACGAGGATAATACGTCAACTTGCTGAAAAGTATGTGCAAATATCGTGCATGTGAACAGCTGCGTTTTGGTGAGAAGTTTTGTTAAGAATTCGCCAATTTTCACTGAGTTTCATCATTTATTGAACTCATGACAATAAACTTTTCAACGTTACGAATTTGTTTTACAATACATCAGTTCATGTGTAAACAGTACCCTTAAACTGTATAGAATATTTTGCAAAATCTAGTTTAGATCAGATGATTTAAATAAGTGGCTACATTTACACTAGTGAGTCTAAACTTTTGATGGGGAGTATATATCACAATCGAATAACCATTTATCTATTTAAATAACCTACGCAAAAATACGTATATACTTTCTGTCGTATTTGCTAAACGTCATTATATCCATCGACAAATAGGGCAAAAAGCCCATTAAAACTTTAAGAAAAGCAAAGGTGTATTTCAGATATGACTTGAAATGAATAAATGACGTCACTATATTCAGGGTCCTACCATGTCTTTAATGTCATTCGTTAAAATATTCGAATTTCGCGAAAAATCGATAAAACCTACAGCTCTAGTTTTGTTTACGCTGTGATCGGTGCTAAACACAGTACTGAACGGAATACACATTGCAAGTGTATTATTTATCTATCAAAGGGTATGTTTGTTAAGAAGAATTTGCTATTTTTAGTATAAATTGTAAGAGCTACCAATTGGAATGTTTACTCAACGTCTTCATGTACATATATTACAAGTACTTCATGTATAAATAAACAAATTAATAGCATGTATGGTTAAAAAACGCTTTATTCAGTCTTAAATAATTCAGTAAAAAATAACAACTGCAC